TGATAAGGACATAGGATGTTTATTCTCTAAGGACTGATCAAATGAATAAGAAATTCTTCACATAAAATTACATAAAGGGGTTTTGATTTGAGATGCAACTTTCTCCCTCTTTCCACAAGAGCCTGCCCAATGTTTAATTACAATGTATTGATTCTTTACTTGTTGTTGTTGTTGTTGTTTAGTCGTTTAGTCGTGTCCGACTCTTCGTGACCCCATGGACCAGAGCACGCCAGGCACCTCTGTCCTCCACTACCTCCCGCAGTTTGGTCAAACTCATGCTGGTAACCTCGAAAACACTATCCAACCATCTCATCCTCTGTCGCCCCCTTCTCCTTGTGCCCTCCATCTTTCCCAGCATCAGTGTCTTCTCCAGGGAGTCTTCTCTTCTCATGAGGTGGCCAAAGTACTGGAGCCTCAGCTTCACGATCTGTCCTTCCAGTGAGCACTCAGGTCTGATTTCCTTAAGAATGGATGCATTTGATCTTCTTGCCGTCCATGGGACTCTCAAGAGTCTTCTCCAGCACCATAATTCAAAAGCATCAATTCTTCGGCGATCAGCCTTCTTTATGGTCCAGCTCTCACTTCCATACATCACTACTGGGAAGACCATGGCTTTAACTATACGGACCTTTGTTGGCAAGGTGACATCTCTACTTCTCAAGATGCTGTCTAGGCCTGTCATTGCCCTTCTCCCAAGAAGCAGGCGTCTTTTAATTTCGTGGCTGCTGTCACCATCTGCAGTGATCATGGAGCCCAAGAAAGTAAAATCTCTCACTGCCTCCATTTCTTCCACTTCTATTTGCCAGGAGGTGATGGGACCAGTGGCCATGATCTTCGTTTTTTTGATATTGAGCTTTAGACCATATTTTGCGCTCTCCTCTTTCACCCTCATTAAAAGGTTCTTTAATTCCTCCTCACTTTCTGCCATCAAGGTTGTGTCATCTGCATATCTGAGGTTGTTGATATTTCTTCCGGCAATCTTAATTCCAGCTTGGGATTCATCCAGCCCAGCCTTTCGCATGATGTATTCTGCATATAAATTAAATAAGCAGGGAGACAAAATACAGCCTTGTCGTACTCCTTTCCCAATTTTGAACCAATCAGTTGTTCCATATCCAGTTCTAACTGTAGCTTCTTGTCCCACATAGAGATTTCTCAGGAGACAGATGAGGTGATCAGGCACTCCCATTTCTTTAAGAACTTGCCATAGTTTGCTGTGGTCGACACAGTCAAAGGCTTTTGCATAGTCAATGAAGCAGAAGTAGGTGTCTTTCTGGAACTCTCTAGCTTTCTCCATAATCCAGCGCATGTTTGCAATTTGGTCTCTGGTTCCTCTGCCTCTTCTAAATCCAGCTTGCACTTCTGGGAGTTCTCGATCCACATACTGCTTGAGCCTTCCTTGTAGAATTTTAAGCATAACCTTGCTAGCGTGTGAAATGAGTGCAATTGTGTGGTAGTTGGAGCATTCTTTGGCACTGCCCTTCTTTGGGATTGGGATGTAGACTGATCTTCTCCAATCTTCTGGCCACTGCTGAGTTTTCCAAATTTGCTGGCATATTGAGTGTAGCACCTTAACAGCATCATCTTTTAAAATTTTAAATAGTTCAGCTGGAATACCATCACTTCCACTGGCCTTGTTATTTGCAGTGCTTTCTAAGGCCCATTTGACTTCACTTTCCAGGATGTCTGGCTCAAGGTCAGCAACCACACTACCTGGGGTGTACGAGGCATCCATTTCTTTCTGGTATAGTTCCTCTGTGTATTCTTGCCACCTCTTCTTGATGTCTTCTGCTTCTGTTAGGTCCTTTCCACTTTTGTCTTTTATTATGGTAATCTTTGTACGAAATGTTCCTTTCATATCTCCAATTTTCTTGAACAGATCTCTGGTTCTTCCCATTCTGTTGTTTTCCTCTATTTGTTTGCATTGCTCATTTAAGAAGGCCTTCTTGTCTCTCCTTGCTGTTCTTTGGAAATCTGCATTCAATTTCCTGTATCTTTCACTATCTCCCTCACATTTTGCTTGCCTTCTGTCCTCCGCTATTTGTAAGGCCTCGTTGGACAGCCACTTTGCTTTCTTGCATTTCCTTTTCATTGGGATGGTTTTCGTTGCTGCCTCCTGTACAATGTTACGAGCCTCCATCCATAGTTCTTCAGGCACTCTGTCCACCAAATCTAAATCCTTAAACCTGTTCGTCACTTCCAGTGTGTATTCATAAGGGATTTGACTTAGATTGTATCTTACCGGCCCAGTGGTTTTTCCTACTTTCTTCAGTTTAAGCTTGAATTTTGCTATAAGAAGCTGATGATCTGAGCCACAGTCAGCTCCAGGTCTTGTTTTTGCTGACTGTATAGAGCTTCTCCATCTTTGGCTGCAGAGAATATAATCAATCTGATTTCGATGCTGCCCATCTGGTGATGTCCATGTGTAGAGTCGTCTCTTGTGTTGTTGGAAAAGCGTGTTTGTGATGACCAGCTTGTTCTCTTGACAGAACTCTATTAGCCTTTGCCCTGCTTCGTTTTGATCTCCAAGGCCAAACTTGCCAGTTGTTCCTTTTATCTCTTGATTCCCTACTTTAGCATTCCAGTCCCCTATAATGAGAAGAACACACTTTTTTGGTGTCACTTCTATAAGGTGTTGTAAGTCTTCATAGAATTGGTCAATTTCAGTTTCTTCAGCACCAGTAGTTGGGGCATAAACTTGGATTACTGTGATGTTAAAAGGTCTGCCTTGGATTCGTATCGAGATCATTCTATCATTTTTGAGATTGCATCCCAGTACAGCTTTTGCCACTCTTTTGTTGACTATGAGGGCCACTCCATTTCTTTTACGGGTTTCTTGCCCACAGTAGTAGATGTGATGGTCATCCGAACTGAATTCGCCCATTCCCGTCCATTTTAGTTCACTGATGCCCAGGATGTCAATATTTATTCTTGCCATCTCATTTTTGACCACCTCCAACTTACCCAGGTTCATGGTTCTTACATTCCAGGTTCCTATGCAATATTTTTCTTTACAGCATTGGACTTTCCTTTCGCTTCCAGGCATATCCGCAACTGAGCGTCCTTTCGGCTTTGGCCCAGCCGCTTCATCAGCTCTGGATCTACTTGTACTTGCCCTCCGCTCTTCCCCAGTAGCATGATTCTTTACTTACACAGAAGCTATTATACCTGTACTACTCAGGGGATACTCTTTGCCTTATGTTACGCTAACACACTGCTTTTGTTAAAGTCCTGCATTTAAATTTTCCCACACTCAAATACTCTGGCATAAGGACTGTACATTCACAGCCAGCATTGGAGGGGATGTAACCAGCAGCAGCATACTATCATTACTGTTTCCTAGCGGCAGTGTACAAGTGGTGGTTAGGTCAATCCAGAAAAAGCATGGTGTGTGAGGACACAGAGTGCCTTCTGGTTCCTGATAGGCACCTGAGAGATGGAGGACCCATGGAAGCTAATGGAAGCAATCATTGGGAAAGGGGATTCTGTGGGAAAACCATGACTGCCAAAGTTAATCCATAGGAACAAAACAGCCTTGGATTGACCTATCTGGACTGGACTGACCCTATGTCTCAGGGCTGCTGTGATGTTAACAGGAAGACCACAGAGGTCACCCTGAGCTGTGCGGAGGAAGGACAGGAAAAGTGTAATAAACAAAGAATGGCAGAACTTCACAGGAATAATACCATGAGTTATACAACTATTTGAAGTTCTGGTCTAGGAATCCATTTTAGAAACAATTAATTTCCATGCAATGACTGCTCCCTGCATAAAATGGGGGGCGCCCTTTGCGTGGGCGCGCGCAGCCCCTGGATCTAGAGCGGCTCCATCAGCATAGGCTTGGCTTTGCCTTCCCTCAGGTGGATACCTGGAGGTCTCCGCCTACCCCAGTCAGTTGTCCAATCCCACCTGGGGGAAGCGTTGCCATGGAGACCAGGCCAGGTAGGGGAGGGATTACCTGCCCACACAATAGAGGGAGGATCTTACCTGGGAATCCTCACTTGGCTCCAGAGCTTACTGGATCTAAATCCATTTTAGATTCTACATGAATTTTAGATTCTAAATGGATTCTAAATCCATTTTAGAAACAATTAATTTCCATGCATAACTTATTTCTGCATGTAAGGGTAAGAGTAGCAGTTATTAATCAGCAGCCAAGTGGTGTGGATGTTCAAACTGCAGTGGGCAAGGCCTCCAGTAGGATATGCAAAACAAACAGAAAGGAAGCCTCCAGAAATTTCACAAGTGAAGTTATTTTCCCTTCCCTAGCTATTTCTTGGATGCTACTCCTGAATAGAAACCAAAGTATCAGACCCTCCAGGTATCCCTATTTTCTAGGGTTATCCCTGATTTAGAGAAGCTATCCCAGTTTCTAATTTGATCCCGGAATATCCCACTTTTCCTTCGGATGTCCTTATTTTCATTGGAGAAATGTTGGAGGATATGGAGTTATTTGACCCCTGAGCCATCTGAAGGCAATGCTGTATAGGGAAGTTTTTAAATGTTTAGTTGTGTTTTTATATATGTTGGAAGCTGCCCCAAGTGGCTGGGGCAGCCCAGTAAGATGTGTGGGGTAAAAATAGCAAAATTATCATTATGGAATGGGACGTCCCTATTTTCATCGGAGAAATGTTGGAGGTGAAATTCTAATATCAGGGCTCATTGGTGTTGCCCACAGCAAGATACTTTCTTGATTAGTCTCCCACAAGGATATCTAGCACTTTTGACAGATGGGTGACAAGGCAACACATATTGATTAACAACCTGCATTAATCTTTTCTAGAGGCCCCCTTTCTATAGGAGAAAAGAAGCTGCCACTCCAGCTTTCCCAGCTTCTAACTGGTGCTGCAACACTTGACCAGAAACAACAAGCACGCACATTTAATTTATTTATCTTAGATATTTGTCCTTTAAAGCAGACATCTCTCACAAGCCCCTGCATGTTTCTATTCTATTAATCAGCACACGTTCTAAGCGAGTAGCATCAATATTTATGATACCTCATAGGTAACACCACTGTCAGTGCCAGCATCCCATGGTATCAGATCTTGAATTACTCTCTGGACCCATCCGCAGTCTTTGGTGCAGAGATCTTCAGCCGAAAGCCCTACATTCCAGTCAGGACTGGGGCCTAGCATGGTAAGGAAAGACATCAGATGACGTGTTCTGTCCACAGAAAATTCAGCAGAGGGAGCAGCTCTTCTGCAAATGAAAAAGAGGGAAATGGCTCAACTAAACATTGCTGCTTGAGACGATATCAGCTTGCATGCCAAATGGAGTGAGAGTATAGCGAAAGAGAGTTGTGCTGTAAGCCATAAAACATTTCCAGGAGAAGAGTCAAACCAAAGTTGACACAACACTTCCCACAAAGTGCTTTTAGGATCAGTGGCAGGTAGCAGAATTCCTTACTGTACCTGAAACTTAGCAATAAAAGATTGATAAGGCAAACTGCTTGATAATGCTGCTGTTTTGTATACTATATCCTTTTCAACAGCAAAACAACCACATGCATTTAATGAAATGGCTTTTATTTCATTCCAGGAATTCTTTTATGGGTGCTTTAAGTCACTTGCAAAGGAGACAAAAGGATGGCTTGTTTTAATTGTGGCAAAATGTTGGTTTAAACTGCAGGTAATTTCTAAAGACATATATTCTCACAGCAATTTTAGCTGGGATTTAACAAAAGCATTCAGACTGGCAACATTTTCAAAAGTAACATTAGTTAGATTTTAATGCTCAGGCCTGTGTGAGATTTATAGCATTAGCTTGTAAATGTTGTGGCCAAGTATTGTGCGAGTTTCTGCCAAAGTACATTCATAGTGATAAGCAGCACACCCGAATTCTTGAGGTCTTGCCAAGGATTCCCTTAAGTAGAGGATATGTTACATGTGGAATCAATCAGGTTGTTTCAGTAACAACATCCAAAGGTCTTCAGTGATTGGCAGCCCAACTATCCAGTAGATGAACTATCCTTGCTAGGCACCAAACTATTGCAACTATCTCTCCATATTAACATGTGCATAAGCAGTGCCTGATCCCACAGGGTTTGTGCTGCTGTAGAATCCTGTTCTTGCCAAACCTAACAGTGACAACTGGCATCTGCCTTATCTGTCAGGCAAAATGTGCTGTTATCTGAAGCCAACGCAGGATTGTGCCAGCCTCACAAGAACCACCAGGCCCAAAAGGGTTCAAGGAAGGAGTATAGCTATGCCATCAGATGTCTTCCTACCCCTTCGCAGCCATCTCTCAACATGTGGCAAGTGTTCTGCCATATGGTGTTGGAGACAGGTAGGGCCGACATCAAGAGCTGGCATGGTAGTGCATCCACTGAGGCCTAGAGCCTTGCAGAGGGCCCACCATTGACCTAAGATGCTGGGCCAGTTTCCCATTTCTTGGTAGAAATTCTTGGCAGCAGTGAAATAAAGAGAGCACAGCGGAGTAGAGCTCTGTTGCCTCCTCAGCACCTCTCCTATTGATGTTGGAGTCACAGGAACTGCCATATGTTTCCAAGTTTGAAAGACACCTGGAACAAAGCAGCAACTCTGTTGCTCTCCACAAAGCCTGAGAAGGGTCCCCACAGATCACACCAAAGGCTTTTCTAATCCAGCATCCTTTCTTCCGAGAAAACCACGAGAAAATAAAAAGAAATATCATAGCTAAATCTCTACTTTATTACAAAATCTCCCATGAATGCAATACATATTATAAGATATGAACCAGTGCTGGGCTGACAATTTCTCAAAAGTTATTAAAGGGGAGAGTGAAATTTCAGTGATATGTTCATATGTGGGATGCAGCTTTTTATTGCACCTACCTTAGGGCCATATTCCTTGCTAGGGATGCGGGTGGCGCTGTGGGTTAAACCTCAGCACCTAGGACTTGCCGATTGCATGGTCGGCGGTTCGAATCCCCGCGGTGGGGTGCGCTCCCGTTGCTCGGTCCCAGCGCCTGCCCACCTAGCAGTTCGAAAGCACCCCCGGGTGCAAGTAGATAAATAGGGACCGCTTACTAGCGGGAAGGTAAACGGCGTTTGCGTGTGCTGCTCTGGCTCGCCAGAGTAGCTTCGTCACGCTGGCCACGTGACCCAGAAGTGTCTCCGGACAGTGCTGGCCCCCGGCCTCTTAAGTGAGATGGGCGCACAACCCTAGAGTCTGTCAAGACTGGCCCGTACGGGCAGGGGTACCTTTACCTTTTTTAGGGCCATATTCAACTAAATTACTGCATCAGTGAAAGCCGACAAAGTGATTCCTTCCCGCATCCGTTGTCCTGCCTTTACCCTGCCCAAATTTGATCTGGAGGGTCAGGGAAACACCAAGAACAGCATAAGAGGGGAGGGGAGGTTGGTTCATTGGGCAAGCAGAAATACTTCTGCTAATAGAGTGTTCTCCTTAGTCCTATGTTCAATGCAACCTTGCTGAGGGATGTTTGCGAGTGTCCTTCCTTTCATTCTATCAAACATTTCACTAATGGTCTGCACTCTGCATGGAATCAGGGCAGATCTACAATGGAACTAATGAAGTCTAAGCTTCAGGGCCCCTAATCCTGGAAGGGCCCCAGAAGTGACTTTAGTCCAGACTGCTTCAAAATTTTGGGTCTACGGAAGCCATTTTGAGTGGCACGACACAGATTGGCTATTTTTGTTGTTGTATATATTTCATCAGCCCCGAAGTTTGAGAGTCAGTAGCACAGATGTTGGAAACGTAGGGTGATCCGTCATGGAACAACCCCATTGAAGAAGACATCAGTGGTTACCCAGACCTCATAGCTGGTTGTGAAGGGACCGCCAGAACAGGTCAAGCTTCCTCCCATGGTTTTTTGCATTTCAGAAAGTGTGGGCAGTCAGGGATGTTGCAGAGTGCTGGCGAAATGCTTACTGGGGGGAAACCAGCAACATAGGCACTACCCTTGACCACCTCACAATGATTAGGTAAGTTCAAAAGTCTAGAGGAATTCTCAAGTGCCCTTCAAATGAGGCAGAAATATGGAAGTCTCTTTCACAGAGGAAGAAAAGTTAAGAAATTGGTTAGATTTTTGACAACAGGTGTGCAAATGTTTGAGTGGTCTATAATAGATAGATGATAGATGATAGATAGATAGATAGATGATAGATAGATAGATAGATAGATAGATAGATAGATAGATGATAGATAGATAGATAGATAGATAGATAGATAGATAGATAGATATAGATAGATGATAGATAAATAAATAAATAGATATAGATAGATGATAGATAGATGATAGATCGATGATAGATAGATAGATAGATAGATAGATGATAGATGATAGACAAATAAGTAAAAAAAATTTTTGATTACATTATTCAACTAACTGCTGCACTAAAGAAACTTACAATAAGCCATTCACATTTAGATGATAATTCAGTTCACAGAATAACAAAACATTTAGCATTCATGCAACATTTTTGAGGAGGCCAGTTTGAGATTAATAGTAGAATTTGAGGCCATCATTAATAAAGTTCACCATCACTGAAAAAGAGACATTTAGTCCTAAAATATAATAAAAGTGATTTTGGAATATAAGTGGTGTATTTAATAATAATAATAGTAATAACAATAGTAATAATAGTAATAAAAATATCATTTAAATATTAAATAAATATTTAAAAAATCAGTTTTAATAAAAGAATAATTTATGCTAATGTTAGCAAATCATACACTCAGACATACTTCTGTTCTGCAGCGGATTGGTCTATCTGGACAGTTAAGAGTTCTTCTAACTTTTTGTAAATAATAAAACTCTTTGTGTCCATTTTTAACATTGTATTGAGAATTGAACAGATAAATCTTACTATACGTTTACATTCTCTCTCTCATTGACCTGCCTTTTCACTGTGTTTGGGGCAGGAGATGGGAGTGGCCTTTTCTTCTTCCATCCCACATTAACGTTGCCAGCCTCAGGGCCGGCACAGGGTCACACCATTTTGGTGGGAAAGTTGAGGAAACAAAGAGGCTTTCGCCATGGTGTATCCTGTATTGATATCTGCCCTCGCCACACACTGCTTTCCCCTGCTATACCAGCAGAATCTCACAGATTTGACATCCACTACCATGATGGAGCTTTCTGTCAGCTTGTGACAAGTGTCATCTTTCTATCATTTGGAGTGATACTCATACTACTTCTTATGGCATTTCAGCTTGGATTACACCCTTAATTTTTTTTAAAAAATGGTAAAAAGAACAAGGAAGGTAATCAAATTCTGACCACGTGCTTCTCTGTAGCAAACAAGTATATTTTCTCTTTTTGAGAAATATGTACTGTAAGCTTTTTGAAGAAAACTTCACAGAACTTGGATTTTGTCCCTGTCAAGCATGCTAGTATAGCCTTAGTTCAAATTCTGTTTGTGTCTTCATTAGAGGCCTCCAAGGAGAAAATGTGACCAATACTGGGCAGCAAGACTTGCAAGATGGATAGGTCACCATACCTGCTACAGATGAAAAGACTTCTGATGTCATCTCATCCATCACCTGGCAGCTATGATAAGATTGCTCTTTTCTTTGAAGTGTTTCAGCCACTTTAATTCTAATGTCTCAAGCCATTAGCGTTCAGTTGTTGCTTCCCGTGAACAAACATGTCTCTTCACTTTGATGGATGGAAGAGTACCAATTGAACTAAATACAAAGATTTTCGAATGATGTAGCAGGTTCGGGATTTTCGGCTGCACAGATTGGTTTTTAGAATTGTTGCAATGGAGCAAACTCTGCGGAAATCAATAGTGTTTGCACTAGGATCTTCACAGCACTGCAGTTTGCACGTTGCTTTTTCTGGAATAGTCTTCTGAAATAAATGGGGAATGGCTGGGTCCAGTATTGGGGGGAAATACAATGCTAGGAATGTCAACTGGATGAGTATTTGGAAGGGATTTCCTTCTCAGCTACTCCACCACAACCTTTTATCAAGGCTTTTAAAACATCTCCCTCTAAATTATCATCATCATCATCATCATCATCATCATCATCATCTATACATGTTTCTTCCTATTAAAGAAAAATCACTAATAGAGACAAGTTTTCAGCAGTACTATTAGTTACTTTTTCTGATTTTGGACATGCAAACACCTCAAGAATTTTTCCCAGCACCAGCTTTGCTAAGAAGCAACACTAAGCAGCCATTTCTGCCAGCAGTTTCTGGAGATGTGGCAGTTCCCTACCCTGATCCTTCATTTTTATTTAAAGCATTTA